CAACTTTTTTTTCACTCTGCCCCAGCTTCACTATCTTCTATTCAACATTTAATTCCTTGCTGATTTTGTCACTTTTGTATTCTAGTTATAAACATCATCTCCAAATCCTGATTCAATAACTTTTTTCGCTTTTCAAGGTACAGACGTTAATACATAGCACTCTCTCTTTTTTATTGCATACATCACAAAAGCTAAGAATGGAGAAGAGAGTAAAACCTATAACTCCTGAGAGACCTCAGTTCATTTCCATGGTCCTGGTATTAAGCTTTCCCATAATGCTCACTGTAATCTAATAAATCTACTATACATTGTGCTAAACGCACACAGATTTATACATGTTGTACACATTCTGTCAAATGCTGTCAAAGGATTATAAACTGATTGCTGGGCCAGATTCTGTGCCGATGTGGAGTCACAGTAGCTCACTCTGGCCCCCCCATTTTTGATGGACGGGTTTTAAATTAGTCCATAAATCTACAGCTTGGATAGAAATGATTTGTACTTTGCAAGCCAGTGCACATGGATTAATAATAAATCATTTATCTGGTTTAAATATTTTTCCTAAATGATTCTAAATGTCCAATAGTTTATGAAAATGAGAAACACTGCAGTGGTTAATATGCATCATCAAGGAAAACAGCCAGGGGAAAGAAATGTCTACATTTTTACAAGTGATCTTCAAAAAGTACACCTACTCTGGAAATCAGACCCCTTTTAAAAAGATCATCTAAAGGTTTTTATCAAATGTTATTATCCATGTAACTCTACATGCTTAACTGATACTTCAGCTGGTTAATGGAGTGCATTTACCACACTGCTCACAGATTAAATGGAAAAGCTATTTCACTGTGCAGTCACTGGTTTTTAATTAGTTACCTACAGAAAATTAAGCAAAAAAAAAACAAAAAACCACTTTTCCTAATTTAATCAAGTAACTGACAATTTGAGGTTATTAATTTACAGCACAGAAATAAAAGCAGTCATTCATGTAATCGGTATTACATATACTACTTAGTCACTCTCTCATCCCTTGAAGGGGATTTGTTGAACCTTTCCAGGAATGGGAGCGCAGCCTCAGTTTTAGAAAGGTCCAACTGCACAGACTCCCACTGACATCAAAAGAATTCTCTACTGACACAGAACTTGTATCAAGAGTGAGATCCCTTACCAGGATAGGAACCCATGAAAGCAATACGAAACGACAAATAAATACAAGAAAACACAGTTGTGGATCCCGATGAGGTTACACCAGCATTTTTTTTTTTTCTTATATACAATTTGAATTTGACAATATATGGATATGATTTGCATGTAGGATTATGCAAAGTGTTCATTTCTGCTTTCTAAATTGTGGCATGAATTACATCAAGGCTTGGAAAATAAGCTACTTGTACCCACGCATAACTGAAGTTGCTAAGATTTCAAAAGTTACAAGCTAACCCTGTATGAAGTCAATAGGGAAAGACTTATAAAAATGTTAGAGGGAATAGTTTTAACTTTTAAACAACTCTGGCCCTTAGCAAAACATACCAAAACAAGCTGATTACAGACAGAGGTGGTGGAATCTCTCGTCTTGGAGGCTTTAAGGCCTGGCTTGACAAAGCCCTGGCTGGGATGATCTAGTTGGAGGTGGTCCTGCTTTGTGCAGGGGGTTGGACTAGCTGACCTCCTGAGGTCCCTTCCAACCCTCATTTCTATGATTCTGTGCTAAAGGAGCAACACCTGGATATCAAACCAATTTTGTGCTTTGTCCTAAGGAAACTACAGATTTATTTGGACTAAGACTAGCAATGCACAGTCTTACCAAGAAACTCTGTCTCCAGTCCTTTCTGACAGTATGTTGGATGGCCACTGGCAGACATTCAATTAAAGGCACAATAGGATCTGATCTGCAATCCCAACAATGACACCTTATGCCATGCCACATACGCATGGCAGAAGATGCGACTTCGGGATCGGGGCCATATTGCTGGTAGAGGGGGTAAACATGGCTCCAGTGCACTCCCAGCCACAGCGCTTGATTTCAACTGATCAGCATTCAGTTTACCCTGCACAATGTTCCTGCGCATATTTTATGCAATAACTTTGTGGTTTGTTCCCTGTTTTATCACCCCATTAACTGAACAAATGTGTCGCCAAGTTACTGCTTAACACGTGATTACCTGGTTTATCATGTCTTAAGTGTAATGTCTGCCAGGGGCCGATGAGTTAGTACTTACAAGTACTAGATTATTATGCAGCAAGAGTTAGTCTGTGCCTGGAAATCTGTTTGAAAACTGACCTTTCACATCCAATTTAATGTAGCAACTTTACATAGCAACAAAATTTGTCTTCATCTCTCGAGCTAAGAATTGCCATGTAAGAGCTACTACTTACCGTTTTCTGAGAGAAGGAAGCAACGTTGTCTAAACGAACACTCAGTTCCCCATTTCTTTTCTGCTGATAAACTTCTAAAGCATCAACAAACTGCACTCCTTTTGCAAAACTATTACGTTTTCTCATCTGTTGGGATAACATGCAACACTGAAAATCACAACAGTTAGCAAAAGTTGTGAACTTAAATTAGATATTTAAACTAGTGGTCAAAGGTTTGCTAGCCCATAACTTTCTTCACTCTGGGGCCTGTTTCAGTAACTCAGTGCTATGTTAATACTCATCAATTTAACCACACCTAATGTACATTAATACATTTAAGAAGAGCTACTGTAACATTTGTACATCTAGAATACCAAAAACAAAACTATAAATGAAGCGATCTCTTTTTAGAAATGATTTTGTCCTGGAAAAGAGAAGCAACTGAAGAAGCTTTATTTTGGACTTCTTGGAATAACATTTTGTCTAGTGCCCCTTGGATAAAACGGTGAATTAAAAGTACACCACCTCAGCATCTCTTGGTTTCTCAATCTGATCTTGGTATCTCACTGGAGTCCCACTGGTTTTAATGGGTTTTTAGGTGTAGGCGCCTGAACTAGCACAAAGGATCTCAATACAATAGTGGACCAAGAAGAGCAGGTTGCAGTACAAATGAAAGTTGTTGAAAATTACCATACAAATTGTTACAAAGTTGCTATGATACCTCAGTAGAAGAAATGACTGCTGAAGAGAATGTGGCACTTCAGAGAGTTTCAGGCCCACTGATTATTAGATTAAAAAGACAAAAATTTGGAAACCACGAGAAAAAAAAAAGTATATATAATCCATAAGACCTACAACACATTCTAGTGTTCAAATCTCCAGTAAAACATGGTGCAGTACATGAAATAAAAATAAACATCATCCACAACTACATTCAGGGGTTGCTTTGTTGTTATTTTTTTTAAAGAAAATACTGGCCTAATATTTTTTATAACGTATCATCCAAATGTCAGATACCAATGATTAGGATTCAGAGAATTTCCTTCTCCTTATATACTTTCCCATTTTACTGTTACAAGTACTGACAAATATATGTAAAGAACAGTTACTGTACAGATACAGAACAGCAGCATCCATAATATGAATAGCCTGCCACCAAAATGAGTCCCCAGTGGGGCTCTGTGTCATGAAATCTGATGGCAGACCCCACCTCTGAACCCCCAAGCCCTTGCAGAAGCCCTGTGGGCCCAATACAGCCTGCAGGCCGTATGTTTGGCACCTTCTATTAAAGCTCTTATAACTCCAACAAAGCCCCTGTAAAAACATTTTAGAAAAATTACATCTGATGTAGTAAGCTAGGGACAAGTTAATTTTGCCATGTATCAAGTGGTGCTGCAAAGCATATATGAGAATTCACATTTTTAACACACATGTAGAATGACATTTTCCACCCTACAAATTCTTTGCTTTGTTTTAACATTTAAGAGCAAAAACTGTTGGTGAGTATGCTTGAGGGAAATAGTGTTTAAATTCTCTGTGTACTACTGTGTACCAAGTAATTCATCTCCATGACATGTTATTGTGAATAATCTAATGTAACAATGGACCCCTTTGTAACAAGCAACAGTAAAAATGAAGGAAAAAAGTAACAGCCTAATTTATGGGTGTGACATGACCCAGCTAATCTCTACGCTTTACACTGAAATGTTGATTGATATTTGACTGCCTACTTCAGCTATGCCTGGATTATTTTACTGCCAATAAACTTTGCTCACCTGCTGCTCAGTTTCTAATGAGCGAATCCTTTTCCTGTCTACTTGAAAATCATCATTTTCATCTACATGTAAAGTTGCCCGTTTCTTTGCAGATAATTTTGAAGATAGTGTGGCTTTTGCGTTGTGTTCTGTAAGGGAAGCACACAAAGCAACACTATTGCTATGAGCGTAATAAATACATACAAATAACATTTCCATTCATAGAATTTACCTAAAAATAAACAAGTTTCAGGAATAGGAAATTAGACAATAGGTGTATATAACAGCAGCCATTTCTGAAACGCATATACCATCCTTACAATAAAGACAGAATTTAGCATTTTGCAACTATGCTGAAAGAAAAAAGTGCTTGGATTAAAAGGAGGCCCCCTAGAACTGTAGCAATATCAAGTGTTTCACTGACTATCCATTTTCCTCCTAAAACTGATCGTAACTGCCTACGCAAAGAAAATAATATACATTAAACTAATATGTTTGCAAAATGTTTTGGAGACGAAGTAATACATAGGTGATAAGAATTACACATTTTAAATAACCTATGTGGATATCAATTCCAAACTTCCACAAAATGTGTCTAGTTCAAGTTCTTGCTAATGGAACAAGCATACAGCTGGGAGTGAAGATTAAGCCAAATATCAACTTTACTCCCAAAAAAGACTAATTTCTAATATTAACAGACTCTGTAAAGTTAGCAGCCATGTTCTCTTAATAAATTATATGAAAGGCAGAGCAATTCCTAAGAGATGAACAAACAGAAAAGATATCCATGGACAGAACGGCAGACCGAAGGTCTTTAATACTGTACAGAATTAAGTCTTCCACAGGAAAGAAAAAAAAAAGAGACTAGACATGGAAACTAACTACACTGTTTTCATCATACTCTCCCGTTTTGTCCTCACACACAACTATTTCAGATTTGGGGGCTCCCTACACATACAAACGAATGGCACTTGCACGTGGCACATGCGCACCAAAAACTTTATGACTGACTTTGAAGTCCGCTTCCTCCACAGCTGTCCCCTCATCTCCCTGGCAAACCTATGGTACATTGATATCTTCACTGAATGGATGCACGGGAAGTAATTTCTAGAGAAATTTCACCAGGACTTCAGCAACTTACACCCCTCCATCTAACTAACGCTGGAAATGCTCCCAGAAATTCATTTCTTGGACACCACTGTGCAATTTTGCAATGGCCACATTTGCACCATGTTCAGTTAGAAACCAACTGACTGCTACGGCTACCTCCACACCAGGAGCTCTCATCCTAAGCACGTTATTGCCTACAGCCGAGCTTTAAGTTACAACCACATGCTCTGATCCCACTGACCAAAATGCACAGCTTAAGGATCTGGAGCAGGAAATGCTACAATTACAGTACTATCCTAAAACCATAGCCATTTAAAACAACAGAGCGAGACTCAGCCCCTGCTCCAACTTGGTACAATACCAACCCTGAGACAAGGACAATACAATCCCTTTGGCTGTCACCAGCAGCTCTCAGCTTGAACACCTCAGGCACGTCATTAATGACCCTCCAACCCCTCCTGGAAAATTACAGCCATCTCAAGGTATCCACGGGGAACAAATCTACCCTGGCTTAGAGGCAGGCCCCAACTTCCAGTGGCACCTCTCCAGCAACAGACCATCTAATTCCTCTTCTCACCAAGTCACCAGACTTTGCTCTGGACCCGACGCCAGCTGTGCCCCCTCATCAACACAGACAACATTATCACTGGGCCAAATAACATGGGTTACATCCAAGGATCATTTACTTGCACCTCTACCAATGATATACATGCCATCACCCACTTAGAGTGCGTCTCCACCGTCTATATCTGACAGATGGGATGATCCCTACATGTACGAATGTATGAACACCAATCTGACATCAATACCAGGATGACAGGCAAGCCTGTAGCAGAACACTTTAGCGTCCCTGGACCATCCTTTGCTGACCTCAGCAGGGCTGTTCTTAGACAACAAAACTTTAAAAATGAACTTAAATGGCAAACTGCAGAACATGAAATCATCCACAGACTGGACTGTGTTAAGTATGGTCTAAACCAAGACCAGAGTTTCTTATTCCATTACCTGGATTAATTTTTAAGCCCCAAATCCCTCAATGAGTTAAATGCCCGGTTTTTCTCTCTCCTACCCACCATGACTCTCTGAGAAGTGCCCACTCCCTTTTCCTCTCCTCTTCCCTACCCTCTGTATTCTAACCATTGCTTTCTACTTAGCAGCTCTCCTTCCTGCAGTTTCCTTACAAAGTCTGATGAAACAAGCTGCTGCTTACATACTTACCAACCTGCTGCTTATAAAAACTTATGCTATACATCCCCAGTTTAATTAGACTATAAAGTGCAAGTCTACTCTACCTTCTATGCAAAGTACTGTCATGTGTGTAAAAGTCAACATGAGAAATGTCTCCATCTCTTTGAACTGTCTTCAGTTAAAGTCATCCAAGTTGCTTTCTTTAACAGTGGGCCAACAGTTTCAGAGACAAATACAACTTAAAATGTGTCTGCGTAAGCCCGAATCCAAAGGGGGGAAAAAACCTAGCACCTGACAAGGATCACATGGCCCTCACACATTAACAGTCAGTTACAAATACCATGGATAAAACACAGAACTACTCTTCCATTGAAGTTACCAGTATTGTCTCTCTTGTGGGTCAAATAAAGGTAGACTTCAGTCAAAGGATGCTCCCAGAAGGCAAGCTATTAATTACTCACTTCCCCTGCACGCCAAATACCAGAAAACAGTATCTAAAGGCTAATAAATACTGTAAAGTGATTCAGGTTCCTTTTGTTGAGCCAGACCACTGCAATACCAGAGACCTGTTCTGGGATTACTTCATTGGCTCCAGTCACTGCAGCCACTCTGCCCAGCTCCACGGGGGCCCCCAAAGTGCGGGGGCCCAGGCGGTTGCCCTGATTCGCTCCCCACTAGGGATGGCCCTGGCTGCTTGGGTATTATGCAGCTATAGGACCTACAACTTGAATAGCTATATACAAGATAGGCAGCCCCACAAAACAGAAGACTACTTAACAGTTACCTTTGTTGCTGGATGGCGTCTTGCTCGCAATGGAACCTGCAGTTTTACAGTTACTGAAAGAACAAGAAGCACCTTGGTTCACATCTGCACTGGTGTCATTAGTTCCTGGCTGAGAATGGCATGTACAGAGACATGGCAATGGGGTCTCTGGCTTTTTGCACTCCTTTTCACATGGAGACTCATCCAATGACTTCTCTACAAATGAACCAAAAGCAGGTTAATTCACCTTGTCTTAAAAAATGGTAATGCCAAAAATAAAATTAGACTCTCTCAAAACTCTAGATTGAATTAGTTAACAGTAAATTTTGTCTTGGTTCCAACTTAGTCACTGGATACACAACAGATAAGTTGCTTGCAGAAACTCTACCCATTCAGTGACATGAAACCCGCAAGTCAAAAGATAGTCTGAATTAGAACTAACCACCAGCCTAACCAAGAGAAAAAGGATTCTAAGTAAGGGCAAGGAGACAGGTCCACTCCTGAAACAGATGTTGGAGGTTACCAAAAGACCAAATTTATTAACGAAGTCAGTTCTTGTTTCAAAAAACAAGACACACAAAAAAAGAAACACTGACCAGAATGACTTTATAAAAGAACTTACCATATAAAGATTGCTGCCATGACAATGCAGAACAAAGCAAGGCTAAACTTTTACCACTTCCTGTAGGGCTCTCCAGCAAACAGTGTTGCCTAGAATTTAACCCCTTTACAATCTGTAAGGAAAAAAAGTTGACATGCAAGTTTGTGTGTTGCCTTTCTGGGTCTAGATACTTATATCATATTTATTACATCCCCACCAGCGAAGTGTAGTAACCCTAAACAGCAAGCGAGAGAGAACAGGCGGAAAAAAATCCAGCTGAAACCACAGGGAATTTTTAGGTTGGCTGAAAGTAGTTTGACCCAGTCTTTTACCCTCTTGGAAAAAATACTGTAGGATCTTCAATAACGGCAGGTGGTCAGTATACCTTAGTTCTTTCTCTTGCTACTGATAAACTGTGGAGAAGCTTGAGAGTCCAGAGACGAGCCACTTTTATGATTAGAGGCCTGAAGAGCAAGCCATATGAGGAAAGGCTGACAGACATGGGACTGTTCAGCCTAGAAAAGAGAAGACGTTGGGGGGATTTGGTGGCAGCTTAAAATATACATCAGGGGTAAGCATCAGGGGCTAGGTGAACAACTAGTCACCAGAGTGCCCCAGGGGAAAACCAGGAGCAACAGTCATAAACTCCTAGAAGAAGGTTTCAGACTAGATATAAAGAAAATTTTCTTCATAGTTCATGTGAGCAGACTCTGGAATAGACTCCCCATGGGGGTGGAACAGGCACCTATCCTGAAGATCTTCAAAAGGAGGCTGGATGCACACCTTGCTGGGGTTATTTGACCCCAGCTGCCTTCCCTACCCAGAGCAGGGGGGGGGGGGCTGGACCTGATGATCTCACAAGGTTTCTTCCAGACCTAAACTTCTGTGAATCTGTGAAAACCTCCCGAGCAGCCATAGGTGACATGCAGGGAGGGCACTGGGGGAGCCACATCTCCCCCCCCCCGAAATTGGCCCTCGCTGGCCAGGGACTGGGAAGCATCGACCACTGCCCCCCCGAGAAGCACCGGCAGCACTTCTGGTTTGCTGCCAGTGTTTCTGGGGTCGGCGATCGGCTGCTGGGGCAGCCCCCGGTCAGCAATCAGCCACTGGTGCCCGCCCAGAGCCAGGAGGCACCAGTCACCCATGCCAGCGGCGCTATAATTGGGAACAGGTTCAGTAGCGATTCAGAGAGCATTTCTAACTACTTACCTTTTAGTAACAGTACCTGATCATGCCAAGTTTTTACTGCACAGAATAAAGACAGTGCAGTACAGTGGCAGGTCAAATGTTTCCCCCTTGATATTCTGATTATTAAAATTGATTACTATGTGAAATATACAGCATCCACTCTGAAGAAAATAGAGCCTAACTAGGCTGATATTGTCTATTAATTCAGTCTACTAGTTCGAGATATAGCTGAGCTTTGTTATTTGCCACTAGAAGCCCTAGTTACAGACCAGGGCACCGTGGTCCTAGCTGTTGTACAAACACAGAATGAAACACGGGGAAATGTGTCAACAGGTAATTGCTTGTATCGATACTAAAATGCATGAAATATTGGAGGCTTGGAATACAACAGGTTCGTGTAACAGAGGTTCCAAACAATGGTACAATTAAATTAAGGGACTTAAAGGTAACTCTACTTACTGCATTCATCATAGCAAGCTGGGAAGGGTAAGCTTTGCAAGGAAAGAGAATCTTTACGCCACCAATGGTATATTCTGATACGTCAGAAGACATGGTCAGGTTTTCCCCACCACTTGTTTAGCTCAGATTTATACCTGTGAGAAAGATGAAAGCAAATGTTGACAAGTACGGCGTCAGCAACTCTCAGAAGCCTCCACACAACATGAGGCACCAAGCAAAACTGAACACGAACCACTGAGGTGACGTCAGAAAGACGTGGTTCAGGGTAAGGACCACGATGAGATATATGGTGACCAATTCAAATGTGTCCCATGTTATGACTCTTGGATAATAGTAACAGTAATAGCAGCTTTTCCTGCCTAGAGCCAATGATCTCACAAGGTCCCTCTTCCAGCCCTAAATGTCTCTGAATTTGTGGATGACTGAGTGATAAGCAAATATTATTAAAGCATTGCACCTAGAAATTGGGGAATAGCTGCACAAAATGGACTTGGGCCAGTATTAGCATCCCAATGATTGCAAAAAGGACTCTGGGACCTTTTGTAGCCCTGAGCCCTCAGGGTCTATGGCTTGAGTCCTAAGACATCAACCCTGCTACAACCCAAGCCGTGAGACCACCTTCCAAATAAGCTTTCCACTTTCACAGCAGAGATGTAGATTTTCTGGAAAATGCTGAATCAGACAATTTTCTGGAATTAGAGCATGATCTGATTTAGCATGTTTATTTGACCTATATTTAGTAAACTAAAACTAAAAAAGAAGTACCCCCATGTTAATTTTATATGTCCAGATAGCCACAAGTATTTGAACTGAAATATCTGATTGCGGGAAACAAGTTAAATACAGCACACTTAATGTGGTTTAAATGTTATGTTCAAACACATTCAAAGCTTTGTGTGGAAAGTGATTATTTGTATTGGAATACTTGTAAGGATGTAAAGACAATACACACAGTACCACGCACTTCCCTTACACTGTTTGTTTACACGTAAGGAAATATACACCGGCACTGAAAACCGTCGACACACTCATTTTAGCACACCCAAAAAACTGCACACAACATGCAGTGCTTTGGTTTGAATTTGACCTGCAGAGCCCATTAGGTGAATTCCCAACTTGATTTTTGGTTTGGATTACAACACGAGTGCATTTACTCTCCTGGTTACAAATCAATGAAACACAGATGCACTCTCTCACACACTTCCTAGGGAGAATCACCTGAAAAACGTTAATTACAACTTTGAAACTGCCAAGCTTGCCCAATATCACATTAGCATCCATTCATTGTTACTAATAAATTTTACGAAACAGGCTGCAAACTGCCCGCCAGGGGAGTTTCCATCTATTGACTCCTCTGTGAAATCCTACCAAATAGGGACTTTCGTTTCCACCCAGGAGAAGGTTTACAATCTTCTCTGCAATACCTCACGAAGGGTGTTTGTACCCGTTTCTTGCAATTAAATCATTCATTCGTTTTTGCAAAAAAAACTGGCTGGTGTCATAAAAGATACCATCTCTACGACGAGGCCCGATTGCCTTTGAAGAAACAATGAACTTTGAGAAGCGGGACGTTTTGGATATTTCCCGAATTTTTACAAGCAGGAAATTTCCCACGGAAAAAAAATAAAAGCACCGGGAAACTTCCCGTTTGGGGAAATTTTCCGCCCCGCATCTCTGCTCGGCGGCAACATGGAGCGTTAAAAAAAAATAATAAATATGTGGAGAAACATCCTCGGGGAAGCAGTTAGGAAGCAGGCGGGTACTTCACATCCACCAACGGCTTCTGGTGACTGGTGGAGGTTGAGCAGGTCCCCCCCCGCCCGCCAGTCCCCGCGGGTGGGAGCGGGTGTCCCAGGTGAGGCGAAGGCCCCACCGCCATTTTGACCCCCCGCCCCCGGCGCGTAAGTTACCTGCGGGGCGATCCCCCCCCACTCGAAGCCTTCCCGCCGCGCCCGCCAATCACAGCTGACAGGAAGGAGCCCCGCGCAGCCAATCCGCAGCCGCGACCGCCGGGGCCAATCGCTGAGGGCCGTGTTGTGTGGCTGGGACCCCTCCGGCTGCCGCGGCAACTAGGCCTGCTGCCTTTTGGGCGAGGCTGACGTTAGTTCATCGCCCCGCTCTCTTTCGGCAGCAAGGTAGTGATACATTCCCACGCGCATTTTGTGATGTCACTTCCCCCCACCCCCCGCCGGGCGGCTCATGGCACTGCTCGCCTGCCGGCCTCGCGAGTCCGCGCCTCTCCTGAGCCACGTGGCGACAAGCCCGTCTGGACACAGATGGGGGGGACCCGTCCTGACAGCAACAGCCGCCTTGGGAAGGAGCAGGAACACGAATAGAGAAATGCTCGGTTCCCCGTGGATGAGACTAACACAAATTGCAACACAACCAAAAAAAAAAAAAAAAAAGGATCTTTTTCTGCAAGCTTTCAGGCTCCTCGGACAGAAAGCTCAAGATCATCTCGTCTTGCTGGGATGCTTTGACCCCAGCTAACTTCAGGACTGGACCCGAAGATCACCCGGCAGTCCCGCTGTCTGTGACTCTATACAGACAGTACCAAGTCCCCGTAGACAGGAAATAAACTTTGTTGGTTTCGTAGAGGAAGCGGGAGCTGGAAACCTGCCCCTCTGGGTCGGGGAGAGGGTGCGGCTCAAGACCAACTAAGAAACTGCAAAATTTTGCAATTTAATTGATCTAATAAAAGGGATCATCACTAAACTAAGAGTTCTTGAGTTTGCATTGAATAAGAGGGATTGTTTCTGAACTAGATCTCATATTTTGCATTGAATAAAAAGGATCATTTCTAACCTATGAGTTCTCAAGATTTACACTGAATAAAAGGGATCATCTCTGACCTAAGAGTTTGAGTTTTGCATTACAACATTTATAAACCCACTCAAGACACACCAGCTTTTAAGTCAAGTAAAATCTTGCTACAGTGGAAAACAGCCAAGCAGAGGGAGAGAGGAATCAAATGAGGTTTTACATCAAGATGATCAAACATCACATTTAGGGCACATGAGGTTAATGCATGTTGTGAGAGCTGGTCTGACCAATCAGCTCAGTGATAACACCAGAGCTCATACTAGAACACCTATTATACACGCGTTCTGCAATACGCTCCTCTGCATTACTGGTCTGGCACCTTTGACAGACAAACTGCTCAAGATGATTTGAAGGCCATAGGTCTTTAAGCAATCAGACTATTTCTGCATGTGAATAAGAACCGGTTTGCCTAACCAGAAAAAAAACACAAACCCTCAAATATTTCACTTTGTTATTTTAAAGACACCAAATGCAGTGATTTTAAAAAAGCACATCCTCCTAGCATGACTGGTTTCATAGCAGAAGCGTGTTAAAAATGCCGGGCTCATCTCTGGCACAGCAGTTAAACCTTGTGTGCCCTTCAATACGGCAGTACAACAGAACCCGCCGGGCTCATCCTGCAGTGGCCTCAGATGCGAGAACTAGCTGCTGCTTCCAGTAGTTCTGGGCACACCAAGCGCCGCAAAGCTGAACCATTTCATCCAAACAGCTGTCCCACTCCATCATGCAGTGCTTCTTGGAGTCTTGGTGCCCTGACTAAAATATACAACTCCCTAGTGTATCCCAGCTTTCCTCACTGTGACCTCCTGAGCTTCAGTTTCTTTTGCATCTCGGCCCGATAACAAATCGAGATCTTTTCTTTTTGCTGCTTCTGGTTCCTCATCTCTGCCTTAAAGAGAACTGGAGCAGCATTATAAAAATAAAAAACATATTCTTTAAAAAGAATGTGCTCTGTTGTTTTATAGCACCGGCTCGTTTAGAAACTTCTATGCCAATTTCAAGACTTCTCCAAAAAGTTACTCAAAACTTACTTGCCAATTTTGTTAAGCAGCTGATGGAGCTGCAGAGATGCACTTTTAAGTAACTGCTCTTATGAACTTAACCATACAGCAATAGTCTGAAAAAGGCATAAAAAGTTTTACAGTCTTTGTCCAGCACACAGTGAATTTACACATGCTATGTACAATAATTATGCCAATGTTCTCCATGCAGTTCTTTAGGGTGTTTATTCCATCTTGCTTTGGAGATCTCCGCTGCAATTGGCTCTTTGAATGAACATGCTTCACGTTTTCCAGCATCTCTCCCCCTTACTTCACATTTTAGCGTAAGGTGGGGAGGTTCAACAAGGTAAGACATTATCAGGCTCACTCAGCAAGCTGCTTTGCAAAGAGTGCATGTGAAGACCTTGTCGGTGCATTACTGCCTCACTGCAGAATTCAAGCATCTGGAATTCAGACCCTGTCTTCACTGGAAGAGTTGTCATTTGGCAACTTCAATAGTCAGGAGCTTTCACTGAAAGCAATGCTGGTCTCCCCAAGAATTCTTCTCTTCGGACTGGGTCAGCTCACCATCTACGCAGACTCCAACAAATACAAGAGATTACTTGTTCCAGTCCAATTCCTATTCCACTTTGGCAGTTGCTACCACAATTAGATACTGTACATCATGGTACTTGTTGCAGTACATATACATTTCTGCCTCCCCTAAACTCCACTAACGCTCATGTTAATTATTTCAATTATGGTATTTTCCACGCATTGGCATAACTGAACATCAGGGTCCAGGCTTGTTATGTCCTTTGCACCACTTTTGTATGAGGGATCTTTACCAAGTCTTGACACTTCATTTGGCTTCTCCTTTAGTTGCTGGAGACCTAGGGAGAATTAGACAAAGATGACACTTGAGCAGAACACTTGTGTGCTACATGCGCAGAGTGAACATGACTTCAAATCACAAGCACGAAAACTTCTATTTTGATGGGGATGCAGTAGATTAAAGCCCAGGCATATACTAGTTTAATCCCAGCAGCATTTCTGGAGACATGCTCATGTCATATGACACGTCTAACTTTTGATTTATTTTCCACTGTTTTGTTTTTCCTGTCAAGAGGACAGTGGTTTAATACTGCCCTCTGAAAAGGGTCTTACATTTGCTGTAGAAAAGAAAGTGACTTGTCCAAGACCAAACGAGTTACCAGCTGAAAAGAGAAGAATCTGCCTCTCCCACTCCAACAAGTAAATCCTATCCACAGAACCCTCAGTATACAGACTGCCTCAGTATATAAACTAAGCCCTGCATGCATTTTATCATTTTGGAACATGAAGTACAGGCATCTTACCTCCTGCACAGTTTACCAATCTGCTTTAATTTCTGAAAGATTTCTTCATCTTTGCTAGAAATACAGTGAAAGTGCTACATGCTCATACCCTGTCTGGGTGAGCCTGATTTCAGTCCCCTGTACCCAAAACAGCTAGAACTAAAAATCACACAACACTACAAAGCTCAAACCAACAAAACAACCTTGGGCAGCTGAAGTGTCCCGAGATTTTGTAAAGCTTCAGCGTTTAACAAAAATGCTGGAAGCACACCACTGCAAGGAGGACGGGTTCCAAGGAGGAAAATGGAGATACTAATTCTAAGCTTGATGAACTTGTATAATACAACAAATAGCAGGTGGAGAGAGGGTCTCTCACCAACTACACATACCTTGGTAAAAAAACCAAAGCAAACCAAGGCAACTGACCTTCCAGGTGACTCAAGCTATCTTCAATAGCGCGTTAAGACACTGAATGATTATGGGTGGGACGATACACTTTAGCCAAAAGGTCCATTTTACTAAGGACTAACTCTTGCCTGCCTATTTCTTAATAAGCTACAGGGGAACTGAGTAAGACTCAAACATTACGGGGCACACTTTCAAATGGCCGCGCGGGAGTTTAACTGCACCTTTCTTATGAAAGTAAATGGGGGTTACACGGCTGAAGCCTCATACAAATCTGCAGTTTCACTTCCCAGGCTTTAATTCCTAGCAGTGTTACACAGTGATGCAATATAGCCTGTTATAGCTCAATTGTGTCTGAGAACTAGAACACCCAATTAATCTATCCCTACAGAAGGTATTTAAAGTCCTCTGCAGTCTATAAAGTATATTAGAAGCCAAAAAATCTGCTCATGCCAAGCTTATGATGGCAAATTTCATATATCACACCCCTAGGACTTTTCCATTTACAAATGTGTGAGGGTGACTTTCACAGTGTATTCAAACTGGTCTCTCAACTTTCAATACATTACAGATGTAAATCACTGCCTTGGATCATATCATTACTTACGTGTAATAATTGGATCAAAGTCTCTTGTTTGTGTGGCAACATCAGAGGCACAAACTTGTCCTATCTGTATCAGCAGAGACATAATATCCTCATACAGTGGAGGAAAGGCTTGGCAGAATGAGACCAAACAAGGCAGGGTCGGCATGAAGAAGGCATAGCGCTTTGACTGGGTTAAAACTGGCAGAGGAAAAAGGGAAATGTTTAAAAGAGCTGACTATTAAAACCAAGCATCAAGAGCTGTCATTACATTTGTAATCATGAACAGCCATAAGAAGCCATTTCAAGTTTTATTTATTTGATTTTTCATCATCAAGGCAAAAAACTGTAGCAGACATTACTCAAAGCAACTGGCTGATGCATTTAAAAGATACACCAGAATCCTTCCTGAAATCAGCAAGATAAATAGTCAGTTTCTTCTTTCCTGTTTTATAATTGCTATTAAATCAATTCCCTGGACGCTAGTCTGAAGTGTTACTTCATTTATGTCAGTCACCAACAACTCAGAAGAGATAAAAGCAATTTTGCTCCTGCTTGGCAAATTTCCTCCCTCTGCTTACCACATCCATTTAAAACTTTCATGGGTTAGGATGCGAGCTTAACAGAGACGAAAAACAAGTATGAATACAAATATCTGTTGTTTAAAGCGTTTTCAGTTGAAGAGCTCAATATAGTCACAGAGGTTCTTAGAACATTTAGGTTCGTATGAAGTTAAACCATATTTACATAAATGCGTTGCTTGGGTGTTTACCTGTCAGCAGCGTTCCCATGACATTGATAGCTAAGCGAGCCACACTGAGAGATTTAGGTAGCGCGTACTGGATACATAAATATGAAAGCAGCTGGATGGCAAAGATCTGCAAGGCGCAAAAGGGAAGAGGTAGTGAACAATTCCGTTCTTATCACTGCTTTGTCCTTTCCCTCTGAAATTGACCTGGACTTGACACCTGGCAGGGAAGCTGTTCCCTTTTCACGGACAAGCAAACTAAGGCTCTGACACATGACACTGAAATGTTTCTCGAAACAGTTGCAAATAAACATATAGAACACACTTGAGTGGATTTAATGTCACTGGAAATGGAGTCTCCACAGCAGCCTACTGCTGCAGTGTTTTGCAGTCCAGGATTAAACAGCTCCAATTCATCTCAAGCAACATAGCCATACCGTACCTGTTTTTCAAGTTCAGGTTGGGCAATGAGCTCCGGTATGAAATCTAGACAGATGTGCATGGATGGAATCCCAGCCACAGTCAGTGCTAGAAGTTCACATGGATAACCCTGTTTGAGGAAAACAAAGCTTATGTTCAGAGAAAGTCACACTAGAAGCTTAACTGCAATTACACTGTTTTCAAGGAAGCTCTGTATTAACACAAGTTTACTCATAGCTCTGTTTTATTCAGCACTGTAGGTTGCTAGTCTGATCCCAGCTCAGGGAGGACTGATGCCACATGCATACCGTAGAACAGGCCTTTTTCCTCAAGGCTTAGCGCGTTAGTTAAATATCATTTATCTACCAAAGCAGGCTGCAAGGGCCCACAGACCTTTTATCCTCTCTCTCTCTTCCATTTGTTGCACATTGATCTCTTTGTCTATCATGTCAGTTCCACATGGCTACATACAAAGCATGTTCCAAGTGATGAGCAAAAGGAGCTTCTACCTGGCTCCTCCCTTGCCCACTGCTCTAAGTGTGCGCCAAATAGCTGGACTGGCACCAAAAGCTGGGTGTAAGATAATTACCACTCTAAAATAAACTTGCCAAATTCTCTATGGCAATGCTTCGCATGCCTTCAAGTTTGCCAAGCTCCCTAACCGGCCATCACCTTCAGGACAAGAATAGAAAATAAAAAATGTGGTAGCCAAGGAAAAGCTGACCTGGAAGTGAACTAGTTTAACTATATTGGGATCCGCAATGTACATTTGGTGCAAAAGGCAGCAGATGAGGCACTGGACCTCTCGAAGATTACACAGCAGACTGTCTTCTTCTTCTTCTTCTAGTTCCTGAATTTGGGGTCCAGGGCCAGCAGCACTTTGAATATTCTTTAGCAGGCTGTGAGAGTTACTGCTCTGACCTTTCTCCTCATCTGTGGGTAAGCAGATCTCCAAAAGAATCTGCACAGCAGCACTGTCCTGGGAAGAAGAAAAAAAACCAAACAAACGAGTAGTAAGCAAGTGGCATTAAAGTTAAAGAAAATGAAGCAAGAGATGTGCACATGCATTCATTCAGCCTGTTGCTGTAATGAAACAACTGTTGTGTACCACCACATCAGGACAAGGGAACAGGCTGTTCTATGCATGAAGTGCTCCCTTATTACTGGCATTGTCATTCACAAGATATGATCAAACAATATAACCGCAGGCTGTTGTAAACCAAGTCCATATGTTTTAAATAAATCTGTGCATTTCAGCTCTGTCTTCCCTTTGCATTACTGTTCATTCTTTTCTTCATTAACAGCAGTGGATCTCATGCAGCTGCCAAGGACTTTACTGCTCCCCAAAATCCTGTCAGCACAGGAGTCAGACTGTGCACAGCTCTCTGTTGTCTGCATGTCAACTAACCGCAATTTAAGAAAAATGAAGCACAGCAAATAACCATAACGGTTCCAGTAAAGAAGCTGGGGGTTTGCTTGTTTAACACTGGGATCAAATGCAATGAAGTTTATTACTTTTTTTTTTTTTCCCCTCAACTTATGGAACAGAATTCAAGCAACACAGAACAAAGCTTTTAAAAAAAGATCATGAAATGGTCTAAGAATCATTTTGTAGAAGTCAAATATTGTTCCACAGTACACATTTATGGACAGCTTAAGGATTTTTTATTTTTTTTACATGTGTCTATATACATTAGGAATTTCTTACAAGCAAACAAACATCTTGACATAAGCTTTGCTAGCTAAACAATGGATCCCAAGGGTTCCTCCTTATGGCATGTCTTTAAGGAAGAAGGAAATCAATCCTGGAGCTCACTCCAAATCAGAGCAGGATGCCCCCGTGGCCATAAAGACCACAGCAACCAAAGGGGCCTGAGCTAACCACTGGCATATGAAAGCCTCTTGCTGACTGATCAAAGTGGCTGTGAACTGTCTGGTCACTGCTTCTCCCAGCTGGAGGCAAATTACAAGCAGTTACTTACACTCTGTTAGAGTGAGAGGAAAGAGAGAATGTGCCCGAAATAAAAGTACTCAGGAAGTCCCAAGATGCTAAGTACCTAAATCAGCCATTCTCTCGCCTTGCACTTCACAATGTTAGCTGCTTCAGTTAAGTAACATCATTGAAATGACCTCCCTGGGTCAGTCATATTTGCTCACGCTCTATTACTCCAAATCTACAAGGATATAAAAACAGCCTGGTGGACAATGGGAGGGAAAGACAAAAACAGGGAGCATAAGCAAAACTTTCTTCTACTCTGCTGAAAGGAAAAGATGTTGCTATAGTAGTCAGCCATCAGCCTAATGCCCTGGGGAGGAAAACAGATGAGAGGGGGAAAAAAGCAAGCTATTAGAGAAAATATGGAGCTTGGAGACAGAAGCTGTTCAACCCTTGATGGGAGAAATCAGCATAAAGAAAAAGGGCACTCTCACTTCGCATTTCTTACAGCCCTGGTGTGTTTTGGGGCTGTTATCATTAGCAGTGTACCTCAATGACTAGAGGTGCACGGATACATTAAGTCCATATCATATCTGCACCAATAAGAGGAAATGTGATATTATTGGCAACTGGGGGTTTTTTTGGCTAATGTGGCCAATAACGTCACCAATAAATGCCATGTGCATACAGGCTGCCACAGCATGCAAGCAAACCAACTGGCAGTTTGGAGAGCAGCTTCTGGCTAGTACTTCTGGGGGTGGGTGGGGAAGAGGCGTGGGGGGCACATCAAGGCCCCCGCGATGAGGGAGGGAGTGGGGCTGGGGCAGGCACTGCCCAGCCAGGGTGGGGTACAGGACAGGGGGGTGGCTCTCACCACTGTGCACACCCCCAGGGAAGACATGGGGGGCATGTGCCCCCTGGATCTATGTGCAAGGCGAGGGTGGCTGCCCCCTGTGGTCTCTTCCTGGAAGGGGGGCTGGGCCGGGGCTGCACTCGGGGTAGGCAACGGCACTAGGAAGGAGACTATGGGGTGGGATACAGCTCCCCCTCCCAGCACCGCCATCACCTGCCTTGAGCGCAACTCTAACCCAACTCCTACCAATTACCATCCATTCACCGCTCTATATTTCGGTTTATGTCTATGTATCACCCATTACCTGGGCGGCAAGCAATGCATTTTTCAGTTCCTCTCGGGTAACTTCTGGGGCCTCCAGGCCCATTGTGTTGTTCTGAGGTGGCCTAATGTCTTGCTCTGCCGTTTCCTTAAGATGGGAATTAAGATAAGCTTTTGAAGCCAACAGATACCCATTCAGCATGTGCAGAGTTATATCCATCAAAGGTGGACACCTAGGTGAAAAGACATAATAAACCAAAAGGTATTTAACTGGACAGACCAACAGGCAAAGATGCCAGAGAAAGCTAAGTCATCAGAGTGAGAAGAACCCCCCAACAAGATACTGAGTTGGTGGTGCCGACATCAGTGTCTAAGCAACTACTCCCACAGTGCTTGGACACTAAATGCAACTGGACAGACAATTAACTCAGCCCCTCTTCACCTTCACATGTTCAGAAACTTCAGACTTTTATTTTTACTCAGGAAGCTGGGGACTTCATTTAAACCTTTCCCTGGATGGACTGGATTAAAACAAGAATGAAAGTTTGACAATCAGGCCAGGGTTCCTGGGAACAACCCTAAGTTAACTAGAAACTGATTTACTCCACTGGACTAACGAATCAATCACTGGGGAAAAAGGGATACAAACATGTACAAGCAAGGATGACGATGACAGCCAAGCCAAGATGGGTATGTGCAATTGATAAACCAACAGAAGGATGGGATAACAGAAGAGGCAAAGAAAAAACCCCCGAAACTCTGTATGACAGAACAGACAATAAAAGAGGGACACAGTTATACTAATGATCTTTAAAGTCCTGAAAACCTCTTTTATATAAGCAACACATGGAATAAAACCCTCTCTCATATCCTAAAAAAAGCCACGCTAGTATATGGAGATTTTGACCTTGAATTGTTTTTCAGAAGAACATGCATTAGTGCAGGGTCAGTCACTTGGCTATCCATTCTCATTGTTTTCATTACTTAAATTCTCAGTCTATTCTTTTGCATTAAATGTCTTAAAATGGCCTTGTATGCCCTTCCTTACCATCTCCTGCTACCGAGAGGAACTCATTTTTCTAGCAGTATTGGTAAACAAATTTGAGCGATGAAGCAAAATCATTTTGTTGATTCACCCAGTAGCTGGTTACTGGGATCCAACTGACAGAATATAAAACCTGGGTGCAGATAGGGTAGCAAAGGCAATTTGCAGTGGGACAATGCCACTGTCCAACCACAATGTGGTTTTTAATATCAGGGATGCCAGCTTTAAGGAACAAGATCTACAGAAATATAAATCTAATAAGATAGTTGCCTGTGTGTGGAAATCAGTTTACAATCTGCTCAATGAGATTAATCATCAAGGGGACAAAACAAGTAACAAGCAGTAAAATATTTATAGAGAATAATTTAGAAATGATGCACCAGATTTTGCCGCTCCTCCCAAACAAGCACTGAAAATCAGGGTTATGTGACAAGATACACCGACTCACAGTGTGACCAAGCCTGGAACAGCGTTCAACCACATTAAGGAACTGCAGTTTAACTATGAAAACCACAAAGCAGGATACAGCTCTTAGAGCTCACGCTACTATCTTGAAACACTTCTTTAAAAAGTACTAATGTTCAGAAGAAGTCACTGACGAAGTATTAGTATGGGGGAGGGACTCCAAGTTGCAATGAAACATTATGAAAGGTAAACCAGAGGGAGACACGTACCTGTGAACTCTCTGATCACATCTTAGCACAATCAGAGGATCAATCATTAGATCATTTTGTGTGTACTTCTGCTGTCGGATTATCTTTACTGAAGGCTGAAGGGCGTTAACGGTCATCACCCACAACCTACAGGGAAAAGGTTTAAAAACACATATCTAAAGCCAATTCTTACAAGAAACAGGTTCACAGAGAGATTAACAGGTGAACACTAGGCGTCTGTTTATTTCAGTAAGTTATACTGTATGTAGACTTACAGTTAAAAACCTCAGTTTATCATATATATTGCTCTAGAAGTTCAAAAAAACCCTGCCTTCCTATGCTGAGCATTTTCTGCAATGCCATCTCCCCAAGATGCATTTTCATTGCAATACAAAAGTGACTACTCATTCTAAAAAGGAAACTCCCTAAAGTAATTTTTTTCCCCAGCACTTGGACCCTACCTTAAATATTCAAGTCAATTCAAGTCAGTCCTGAGGCTGCTGCGACCACTGGGGCACCTTA